CTTTTTGTGCCTCACATTCCCCTCTCCCCCCCACCTTCATTTCCTCCAGGGCTGGGCCAAGGTGCCCAAGCAGCACACAGCGTCTCCTCGGCGTGCATGAGAGCAAGGCTAAGGGAAGTGCAGTGGGCTGCCGGGGGCTGCTCAGAGCAGTGGCTGGACAGAGGGGGTCTCGCTGCGCGGAGACGGACCGCCCCAGCTCCACGGCCTGCTGCTGCCACGTGCAAACTTGTGTCCAGTTGCCTGCTCCCTCACCCCCCAACCCTCACGGCATGGCCTGCTCTTGTCACTCCTGTGGGCTCATGGCCAGTGACCCTGCTGCAGTGGGGGAGGCAGCAGCTAATGGGGGGGGACCACACGTGACCACCTCACATGACCCAGCACATAATTCCCATCCTCACACCGGGGCCCCATGCTCTCCCCTTCTCCCCTCCCCTGATCCATCCCCCCTTACCTGGGGCTCTCTCCTCCTCCCACTGCTCTGAAGATATCACCAGCCGCAGGGAAAGGAGCAGAAATGGGGCAGCTCCTCTGGCATGGCTGCACTGCCGCCCAGTGCCAGCCCCCCTGCCTGGCTGTCCAACGGGGCTGCTGGGAGACCCCAGAGAGCAGCTGTGTGGAAAGGCTGGGGCGGTAGACCCGCACTGGAGGAGATGCCGGTGTCCTGCTCCTTTCCCTGTTGGGGTTCCTGAAAGAGCCCTGCACTGCATCAAGGAAAGGAGAAGGCTGGGCCACCAGCCCTGTCATCCGGTGGGGCTGCTGCCCAGACGGAGAAGCCCTGGTGTGGCAGGGCTGTGGGCGAGAGAAGGGCTGGCGGCCACACCTCTGGGGCGGTAGACCCGCACTGGAGGAGATGCCGGTGTCCTGCTCCTTTCCCTGTTGGGGTTCCTGAAAGAGCCCTGCACTGCATCAAGGAAAGGAGAAGGCTGGGCCACCAGCCCTGTCATCCGGTGGGGCTGCTGCCCAGACGGAGAAGCCCTGGTGTGGCAGGGCTGTGGGCGAGAGAAGGGCTGGCGGCCACACCTTCCGCTGCTTCGGGGTGCTGCACTGGCTACACGTCTCTCACTGGTACGGCTGCTGG